AAAAAAAAAAAGATGAAATCTGATTTTGGAATTTGGGCATTATTACCTAATGCCCAATAGATAGTATAAATGAGTTGTCAACCAAAAGGCCATCCAAAGTTTTGAGTCGGGTTATGAGTAACACTAATTAAATTAGGCTGCTTCAAATGACTCAAATATATTATAGGATTGTTTAGACAATTGTGGTATCAATATACTACTTCAGTCATCTAGTCGATGCCGACTGAATAAATAATGAACTTACATTATCGCCTGAGAGATGACGTTTGGCAACAATTTGCCTAACACAAACTAAACACGTTTTTCAATTTTCTATTCTAAGAAACATTTTTCAGAATGACAAATCAAACAAAATAGATACTTAAAATAGAAAATTGAAAATCAAACTATATGTTTAACAAACATGATTGAAAATAATTAACAAATCAACAAATTACATGTTTTGAATAATTTAATAAAGCTAATTAAAAATCAATAATTATTTTATATCGCTTGATTTAGTAGCTAGATCTCAACCTTGTCATTTTTTATACTCTTAAATTTTTGGATTAATCCATTTGTACTAAAAATGAATTCACAAAATTCTTACACCCTCTCACGTGAGGGTGGGTCTCGCACAATAAAAAAGAAAAAAAAATTACCCACCCACCCTGCACTTGTGAGTGTCTGTGGGGTTTCTGTGTCTTTAAATGTAGCAAATCTCTAAATTTTTTTACTATACTAAGCTGTGAAAATTAAAATAAAATTGTCATAACACTAGAATTGAAATAAAATTGGCAAATGTTATAAAACTTTGGTTTCTTTTTCGTTCGTTTTTATAGCAAATATTTTAGTGTATTTGCTAATTTAAGCAAAAGACAAATAATCAAACAAAATTCTTAAAACCAAAATTCATCAATAGTTACAACACATTCTCCCTGGTCTAAGATTTAATCCTTATTTCTAGGAAATGTCCATGAGTGTTGACGAGACCTGCAAATCTTGAGGATGGTTCGAAATGAATAGTTTGATGGGAAATGAGATATATGAAAACTCCCTTAACTTCCCATAATTTATCTTGCGTTAGAAAATGAGATATATGATCGTCGAAAATATATATGAAATTTGTACATTAAAATACACAAATAAAAATTCTCAAAAATTTAGCGTGTGAATTGTAGAAACGTAATTGAATTTTAGATTTAGACTATTGGAGTGCAAAAAATATTGATATAGAGCATAAACTAGCAAATGACGCCACAATAAATCATCTTGAAAATTCTTCCTTCTTGAATCAAATTTATAGATTTACAAGTAATATAAGTATATAGCTTGAATGATACCCCATTTCATAAAACAAGAAGAAAAAAAAGGGACAAATGCGACTAGCAATTTAATGGAGGAAGATCTGAAGGTTTTTGATATGATTCGGTATCCGATTTATCAAAAACTCTACTGCCGAAAATCAGAAATCCAAGAGTGTAGCCAACAACAGCTACAACAAAGGTTGCAACACCGGACATCATGACTGCCAACATCACAAGATATGCCAAGCTAATCCGAATACCGTACAATCCCACTTGAATCACCCCAGCAATCCAATTGTTGCTCTCCGAACTTATAAATCTTGTGTGTGATAAACATTCAACAATCAGAGACATCATAAATACTATTACCAAATCTAGTAGATATAGAATCGAGTTCCCCGTGCCGCCAAAGAAAAATGTTGTGTGCATCCCCATTTTCATTTTCAATTTCCTATTCTCCTTTTTGCAAGATCTCGACAATTTGGTTTGGAGAGGATTTTTTTTTGGAGTTTCGGATTGGAAAAAAACGATGTTAAAAGGAAGTAGGGTAGGTGACTTGTGATGGCCTTGACATTTCCTAATGGTAGTACGTTTCATTTTAAATTCGTACTACTCTCTCTATATAGTGGTAGTTATAACAATCCACTAACTAAATATCTTACATTATTATTGAGTTTTAAGACATGTACGAACCCCATTTTTGTTGTAAAATGTATTTTGAAATAGTAGATTGATAGAGAAAGTGTAGTTAAACATAAATGAAAAGTTTTTGAATTGTGTGTAATATAATTTTATTGAAATATATGTGGTTAAAAAGAAAATAGAAAAAAATATATTTAAAAAAAAAAAAATCGAACAAGGGCTTAGTATTTATATTGAGGAATGTACGGATTGAACTTGGAGTGTTAAAATTCGGATGGAAAAAGATGCAAGTACTGGGATTTTTAACAGGGTTTTGATAGGAAGCTGACGAAAAAGCTGTTGGCCTTTTTTTTTTATCTTTTCTTTTTTCCTCCAATGAAATCTCTCCATTTCAAAATCCTGTAAACATTCTGTGTATTTTTCCTGTACGTGTAGCAATGCTCAATTCGGATAGGTTCAACGGTTCAACTAGAAAACCCATTATTCAGCCATTAAATCGATTTGAGTTGCTCTATTAGATCGATCTACAAATGACCCAAAAAATCCGAAAAACCTGCCGAATTTTTATAATAACCCGTTGAACCAAACCAACTAACCAATATGATCACTGTTAATTGAAAATCATTCGTCTTCTTGAATTTTGGAGTAAAGAATTAAAAAAATTGTAAGATTTTTCATTATATAAATTAACTTTTTTATATTCAATAGAAGTTGACACATCAATTCCAACTATCGTGTTAACTGTTGAACCACTGATTAAGTGGACCACCTCTTGATCCAAATCAGTGCTCGAGCCGTGTCTACAATAAACTTGTACACGCTTATCATCAATAATTTATTCAATTATATAATATTCTTAAAGAAAAATAAAAATAAAAATTTATCCATAATCTTGTCTAATATTGTTTACTAGACCTATGACTAAAATGTTTAAAGAATCTTGTTTGGGTTACAAATTAGAGTAAATGTTAACCTCCGCGATCGTGAATTCCATTAAATGTGTGATTAAATATAATTATTAATTTTGATTTAAATTTATATTAATTTTTATAGTTGAACCTAACGGGAGCTCAATGAGAAAATTTATAGAACAATATTTGGTGTACAATGATTTTGACACCATTGTTGATATTATACCATTATTAGACAGTATAAAAATAATTCATCATTTCAATTAGGGCCTGTTTGGTACTGATTAAAATTCAATTAAAATTGAAAATATAGTCGTTATTGGGCCTCACTCGTATAATAAAAGTCAACAATAACGACTAATTTTTCAATTTTAATTTGATTTTAATCTCTACCAAACGGGCTCTTAATATTTTATTGTACAAATAGCATAATTCAAAGAGCTTTGCTTGGGATACGTAGGGGCTAACATAGGGATTGACATAATACTCACATGAGATGAAACCCACTTTTGGAGTGGGTCCCACCTCATGTGAGTATTTTATGTACACTTATCATTTTCCTAATTCAAATTGGTGTCACGACTAGAATAGTTTTGAAGTACAGGTTGCACTGTTAGTGTACTGCATCACGTCCGCTTGCACGCTTAGTACAATTACGAAAAGATGTAAGAGTTCCAATTTTTTGAGTTTCATTGGAAATTTGGAATGATATTGTTGACTAATCACCACACAAAATTTTTTATTTTGAAAATTCTCCTAACATATCTTTTTTGACCAAATAGTCTTTTCTTGATAATAATTTTTTACTTTGTATTCTCTTTCCGTCTCCATTTTAGATTTTTGTTTCCCAACACTTCTCACCTCAATGTGAAGAAGCTTATTGATTGTATATACGTGTGTGCGCGCGCGCTGTAGAACATTATTTGAAAGATTGAAAGATTCATAAAACAAAAGGCACAAAAATCTAGTACAGAAAATAAAGAAACTTCGATTACTGATGGAAAACTAAGACATACAAATCCCACAAAGACCCTAGGTTTTAGGCAACCAACCAATCTCCTCTTTGCGAAAAGAAAACATTGACAAGAATAGCCCTATTCGACGACGTAATTCTTAGCTGATTTGTGATATATTAGGTATGATGAACTGAACAACGCTTGACACGAGTAAAGAAGAAAAAGATATATAAATTTATTTTGTTGTACTATATAATATTATTGAGTCTTGGAAACTAAGCACACTCTGAAGCTCTTACAAATTCAGCCAACTAGGTTGTGCCTTTTCCATTCGTGTCTCACCATAGGGTTCATCGTTGTCAAGCCTTTTATTATTAAGGAATGCAGCGCATGCAACAACATAAAAGATTACGAGAAGGATTAATAGGACAATATTGATCACGGCTACTTTTCTCCAACTCGTCTTCACACTGGCCACTGCTCCAGCTTTGCAGGAGTTGCAGTTGTAACAAAGCTGATCTTGATCATTATTCCACCGGTAACAGTCGGGATCAGGCCCCACCTGCCCTTCTGGTGGGTACCAAAATGTCTCGTTTATGTAAACATAGCTGCAGGCTGTAGGGGGCTTGCAACATCCAGACTACATAAAAACAAGTCAATCAAGAATCGTCAATGTCTCAATGAAGAATTTCAGTTGTATATATGTCCAAGGGAAAAAATGTAGTTCTTGTTTGTTATGCTAAAAAAATGATTAGAATTTAAGTCAAAATAAGCAATTAATTTTTAATCACACATTTCATGGGACTTACAACTTTTCAATCATATATTTCATTAATTTTTATCAAAATCTAATTTTCATGTGAAGCAAGCAAGTGCTTAAGGAAAGACAACCTACACATTATATTATTATGATATGAAAAAAAAAATTCATAAATCATCCATAAGCATAATGCAAATTCAAGTGTCTCTGACCACTGCCACTTCTTTTAAGGTGTCTAATATGCACCAAAATGGACAATTTTTCAGTAAAAATAAAGCTCTTTTACCAGAAAATGTTTGACATCATGATTGACCTACACTCACATGTACGTGGGACTTACATGAATAAAAAGTACCAAAATATACTCCCACTTCCCCTTATTATGGGTGTGCTGTTCCTAACAACTAGTGTTCTAATAGGCGCGTCTTGGCGTGAGGCGAGGCCAAGACGCCAAGCCTAATATGTTAGCGTCTTATTTGACGGTCAACAACAGTTGTTCTTGGCGCGCATTTTTTTAACACAATTCTTTTGAAGTTAAAAATTATTAATTGCTAATTTTTTCAGTTTGTCCTAATTTAAAATTAAAACAACCATTTGAGCCCAAAAGTCAAGTGACCAACGAATCTTATTTTCGGTAGATAATTTTTTACTATTTACTTACTATTTTGTATTTAAATTTGAAACTTATATTTTTGTTGGAAACTTTGAAAAAATGTATAAAGTTCTTATAAATATGTTTTAAATGTTTAGTAAGTATTATTTTTAATTGATTAAAAATTAAAATAATATTAAAATAAAAAAACGCTTTTTAATGTTTTTTTACGCATATGCCTCGCCTAAACTCGCCTAACCCTGGGTTTGACCTCCACGCATCACCACACATTACGTTTTTTAGAACACTGCTAACAACATAGCATGACTATTGATCTTGGCTAGACTCTTAACATTGTATTGAATTATTTCATAATTATTTTAAAATCAAGAAAATATTAGTCAAATTCAGATGAATAGATAAAAATATTCCTCTTGCCTTTCTGTTTCTAAGAAAGGACAGGAGAAGTAGAATATAAAAAAGAAAGAGAAACCCAAAAGTCTAAAAATCTGAAATTTAATAAATCTCAGCAAATAAAAAGAAAGTTGAGTAGGAATAAAGGTAATCAACTTTAGCAAAGAAGATTCCTAAAGGGCTCTATCTTTCCTTTGATTCAGAAGAAGCAAGCCAAAGGACAAAATCTGAAAGGTGTGTGTATATATTCTAGAAAAAGAAGTATCGAGAGGGATTTCCACAAACAATGCCGTACGTGTACATATCAAGAGGGATTCCAAACACAAAAAGTTTAAAGTATGTTAAAAGACTAAGGTTAAAAATGTTAAAAGAAAATTCTTAACGCCTAAGCTTTTGATGGGTCGTTCAATATGTCGATCGACCATGTCAAATATTTCGAGTTCGATCCTCGTCGCAACACATTTATTAAATTTGTGCAGTGTTAGGTCTTTGATGAATAAAAAAAAAAACTAACATGCAAGTGAGATGCATGTTAAACACTAAATTTAAATAGATAATTGAATATCTTCTTAACAATGCAAACTTGTAGTGACCTAATTCAACAAAACACTGCAACAAAACTTGTAGTAACCTCTGTTAATGTCAAACAAATACCTTCTTAAGGAATAATTACATATCCAAACATAATTCAAAAAATTACCTAAAGGTAAAGCTTCTTTTAAGCTTAATCAAACTACAATGGGCATGCACATGAATGTGCTATCATGTTCCATCAACACACTAAAAGAGATATTTTGCCCCTATTTGATTTAGTTAAAAATTATATTTTTAGAAGATTTTAATAAAAAAATAATGAAATATATGGGTGGAAATGAGTTTAAGAAAAACGAGTTTTCGATAATAGGGGCCAATCAAGAGTATATATTTAGCCCTTGTTCGATGGCTATTATTGTGTAAAAATGATATTTTAAGTAGTGATTTTTTAGAGCATGTGTGGTTAAAAGGTGCTAAAAAGTTTTAAATTTACGTGCACAATATATCATTACTTAAATATGTAGTTGAACATGAGCATGAAAATTAAAGAGTTGTTTCAAAGAAAGACAAACTGGGGCTCCGCATGGAAGGCCGACAATTCTATTGGCAAACAGAGGATTTTCAAGTTTATGGCCAAGTACTTGTTTCTTCTCTTATGTTTTAATTGCTATCTTATTAGGTTCAGTTACTACAAATATTCGTAATCTACAAATCATTCCAACTGGATATTAGAATTTATTTGAATATGTTCTCGAATGAATTCGAGATATGAGTAAAACAATATCTACATGCATGCAACATAATCATTCAAGAATATAATGAACTAATAAAATTCAAATTGTTCTTACCTCAATTGGAGTGAGCTTTCTAAGGTAAAACTGGTCAGCAGTCTCAGGAGCACCCCTAACAATCCTCCTCATTTTGTTACACGCATGGGAGTCCCTAATGCAAGAACTGATCTTAGTCCAGTAACTCTGCTTACTCACCCGCTCCTCCAGCCACCCCGAATAGTCCTGCAGGTAATACTCCTGATATGCCCGGCTCATGACCGGCCTGCCCGACCCCTTATCGGTGACAGAATAGGCGAAGATGAGGAAGCCTACCAGGGCCACAATCGTAAAAAACATGGCCCACAAATACACGTACATGAGGACGGTGTTGCGGTAGCATGCGCCGGCTAAGCCGGCCAGAGAGATGAGCATTAAGGAGGCGCCACTGATTATGAGCGGCCACTGCAGGAATTTCATGCAGTCTGTGGTGTTTGCACGGCTGCTCAGCCATATGCCTCCACCCAAGATGGGGATGGAGAGAAGCAAAGTCATGAAGTTGAGGAAACCTATCACATGGTTGCTGCTTCTCATCTTTCTTTTTTAAGAAAAATTCTTAGTTATGCTTCGATTTTTGAAGTTCGCAACTTTGTAATGACGAAGAGTGTGTTCTTGAGATGTAAAATGTGAATGCGTGAAGCTTTTTGAGAATAAAAAGACATGGCTTTTTCCCAACACACTTTGTAACCCAACTTTTGTAATCCAACTTTGTACAAATAGCTTTATTGCTGTGGAGTTAGACAAAAGCAACCTTCTATCAACTTTGTGGTGCAAAACTAAACAATAAAATCGAAAAGAAGAAGAACAATAAAATCAACATATATTCAAGAAAATATTCCCGGATATATGACAACAAGGATAAGAAGAATAAAATTGTGCAAAATGACAATTTGTTGCTTGGGCTTTTTTATGAAGGTTGAATTTCTGGATGCCAAATTCATGTTCAGTCTTCATTGAATAATGAAATGATAATTTTCCCAGATATCATTGAATTTTACTATTAAGAGTAAGTATTATATGCATCCATATCTCAATTTTCCCATTTTATTTAATAAGAGAAAATATCAAATACTTATCTTTAACTTAACTATGAGATTGAAGATGTTTTATTTTAAAATACTAATAAGCCTAGGAAATAAAAGAAACTATTTTAAATAAATATGATTAATTGATAATTAATTGATAAGTATGTAGCACTTGTATTTCATACGAAATGTGTGCAAAATTAAAGTTCGACTTTGAGAAATTGATTTTCAGAATAAAATGAAGCTCAAACTGAGGTTTAAACTGTTTAAAAAATAATTGCATGTTGTTGTTCGTTCTTTCATATTGGACTATGATCAATATGATGTATTGAGGTGTCAAAATTTTAGGAGACACGATTAAGTGAAATGAAGAGAACATATCTCAACTCATTATCTTGATGGCAATAAACCAATCATCCACCCAACATAACTGGGAATGATTTGCAACCCTTGCTCTGTGCGATCCTAAGTGCTACTAAAATAAATATGAAACTTTGAATACTTAACAAAATGTTGACTTGTTAATAAAGACTGCTAAACTCTTCCATTAATTTGAGACCTAAATGCAACAAAGATTAAAAATTTGAAGATATAAACGCTACTTCTTGATGATCAAAGCACAACATAAATGAAAAGTTGGAGACCACATTGCAAATTATTGATAGCGTGTGGATATTGACACTCTCTCTCGTTCACTTTATGCATATATGGTTGTCAATAGATTGTATTTTGATCTGAATCCGATAATCCGTTAACTAAATAGATCAAATATGGATATATGTCAATCCGATCCAATTTGTTATAAACATTTGAGTTAGTAAAATATTTGTATGGCATGTTATTTGTGACTATAATAAATAAATGAGAAAATAAATAAATTTAGAATAAAAAAAGTCTTCAAATTCAAAACATAAAAAAGTTCAAAAATTTATAATTATTAAACCTGTTTAAGAATTGGAAATGCCAAATTCATGTTCAGTCTTCATTAAATAATGAAATGATAATTTTCCCAGATATCATTGAATTTGAGGAAGTATATTATGAGCAGACCAATCTTGAAATCTGCCCGCTCTTTTTTTTTTTTTTGAGCCTTAATCGGATCGAAACGTTCGTTTGAGCTTAACGAGCTCTGATACCATTTTAAGATTTGAGATTTTATTTTAAAAGGTCAACATAATTAAGAGGAGTAACTCAAACTCTTATAAATTGATCTATGTTTTCATCTTTATTCGATATAAAATTTTATACCTTAACAGTTTTGAAGTAGTTGTAGAACAAAAAATGTTTCAAGGACTCCAAGAGGAGTCATTTTCCCTTTTTCTTATTTATTTATTTTTTATTTAACTTAAAATAAAGGTTTAACAGTCTTTCCAAAAAAAGTTAAATTTTAAAATGATTCAAATGAAAACCACTCACCGAGGACAATAGTGTAACAAAATTAAAAGATCGAGGTTTTTAATCGCAAATAAGTGTTTAAAGTTCCAACTTGCGACATAGGTCATAAATTAGAGGCCATTGTTGCATTTCTCCCTACACTAATTTAGCCTCCGTTTGCGTTTCATTTTATTTTGCTGAAGTTCTACTTTTTAAGAAATGAGTGATTGATAAGTATGTAGCACTTGTATTTCATACGAAATGTGTGCAAAATTAAAGTTCGACTTTGAAAAATTGATTTTCAGAATAAAATGAAGCTCAAACTGAGGTTTAAACTGTTTAAAAAATAATTGCATGCTGTTGTTCGTTCTTTCATATTGGACTATGCTCTTCTTAGTTGTCTTGAAAAATATGATGTATTGATGTGTCAAAATTTTAGGAGACGATTAAGTGAAATGAAGAGAACATATCTCAACTCATTATCTTGATGGCAATAAACCAATCATCCACCCAACATAATTGGGAATGATTTGCAACCCTTGCTCTGTGCGATCCTAACTGCTACTAAAATAAATATGAAACTTTGAATACTTAACAAAATGTTGACTTGTTAATAAAGACTGCTAAACTCTTCCATTAATTTGAGACCTAAATGCAACAAAGATTAAAAATTTGAAGATATAAATGCTACTTCTTGATGATCAAAGTACAACATAAATGAAAAGTTGGAGACCACATTGCAAATTATTGACAGCTTGTGGATATTGACACTCTCTCTCGTTCACTTTATGCATATAGGGTTGTCAATAGATTGTATTTTGATCTGAATCCGATAATCCGTTAACTAAATAGATCAAATATGGATATATGTCAATCCGATCCGATTTGTTATAAACATTTGAGTTAGTAAAATATTTGTATGGCATGTTATTTGTGACTATAATAAATAAATGAGAAAATAAATAAATTTAGAATAAAACAAGTCTTCAAATTCAAAACATAAAAAAGTTCAAAAATTTATAATTATTAAACCCGTTTAAGAATTGGAAAAATTGGAAAAAAAAATTGATTCCAACATTATTTTTTTTCCTAATTTCTTTAATTTCGAATCGGATTATCGGATCGAATATTCGATAATATAGCAAAATGAATATGAATTTAATAATCAAATATCTATCGGATCGGATCGAATACAGGTAGATCCAATCCATTTACAGTCCTATATGCATAGGTGCAAATACTAGTTAATAATTAAGGACCAAACTATCAATGCCACTAAATCTGGGGGCAAAAACCTCAAAATCAGCATTTTGCAAGGCGCGCGAGTAATTCATAAAGGACTTAGACATATATAGAGGTGGAGCTCGGGACACAATTTCGAAAGACATTATAAAGAAATATTATTATGACACAATATAACCTTGTTTTTTTATGGCATACCATCCAAAATAACCTATCAAGAAGGTGACAAGATAATTTATGGCACATGGCTTAGTCCTAAACGTTATCATGATCCTTCGCAACCAATCTCGCCAACCAATCGAATTCTTCCAAGCAAGCAATGACACAAGTTTTTAGGCCGAAACACTACTTGATATGATTAGAGAAACTTACTTGAATTCACCCGTCTACATAAAAGGACGAAGGTGGATGAAATGGAGGATTGAATCCGAGTTGAAATTTCTTCGTATAATTGTAATATTTTAGTGTTAAAATATTTTTATTTAATTCAAATTCATAAAAATTGATTGAAGAGCGTTATTTTTCGACATCAACACAACTATAAATAAATAATCGAATGATGAGACGGTGCAAGTTTAAAAAGTAGAAAAAAAAAATAAATAAAAAATTGACAGTGATATAAAATTGATTGAAGTGGGCGTAACGTAATACTCACTCACCCGCCAAGCCCATGTGACCAAATATGAGAATCTTGCAGAAAGTGGTCCCACTGTTTAATGGCAGGTCCGTTAATCCCAGATAAGTTTCATTTTTTATTTTGGTTTAATCAACTCTCAACGAATCTCAATTGTTTGATTGAATTTTAGTTTCAAATTACATAACTAAGTCCCTCAAAATTACGAATACATTTATTTGATAGTTAAATTCTAACAAAAGTTTTATATAGTCCCTAACTACCAACCTAACCTATCTCCTCCTGTGTAAAATAAAAAAACACCGAACTCTGCATGTTTCTTCTAACTATGTGTTTTTTTTTCAAAAATGCTACTTGTACATCAAGGTGTACATTCCACTCACATAGGGGTGAGACCCACTTATTTAAATTTTTTTTTCAAGCGAGTCCCACCTCCCGTGTGAGTGTGATGTACACGTCGATGTACAGCTTGATGTACCTGTAACAAAACCTTTTTTTTTTTTTTTTAACGCTCGAATACTTTTTCATCCCTAATAGAGAGTCGGGACATTGGTCGAGCATTTTGCCATCTCTAATACATTTTAACTCATTTGGACATGGAGATGTGGAAAATTTTTTAGAATTATTCCAAGTGTACAGGGAAATGATGTACGGGGCTTTACATTTCGTTTTTTTTTTTTTTTTCTTTCCATTTCCAATCAAATTGTGCCCCATCCTCCCTCTAAAGGCGTTGACTGCCATTTCCCTCTACACCAAGCAACTCTCAAATTTTTAAGGATTATTGTCTATGTACACATTGTGGTGTAACCCCTCCATGTAAGAGGAATGTAAAATATTGTATAAATTATTGGGTATACGTAATATTTCCTAATTTTTAATTTGAAAAATGATACTTGCACACAGGTTTACGCCTCTAACGGTGTAGAGTCACCCTGTTCTACACGCTCCAATAAGGCGACAATTCCTCCTCTATCCCATATTTGTCTCTGCCTACTACACAACTTTTCAGCCATAGAGCCTGGACCCACCCAGTAGAAAAAATATACATGTACCAGAGGAGCAGTTGGCCTCTAAACTCGAGCTCTTAAACCACAATGGCTTCTCCTTCTTCCTCTAATTCAAAATTCCTGTAGCACAGTGATAATCTCAGTCTTTTTCTCAAAATTTTCTTGGTAAGAACAACCATACATATTGTCTCTGCCTCTCTTTCTACATTCCTATCCAAAATGCCTAAGTAAAAAAGGAAGAAGAAGAAATTCCCCATTTTTCTGACCAAATCTTGCTGCATTTGTGCGTTTTTAGTGGGTTCGAAGTTTTATTATGTAATTATGTTTTATTATTTTCTTGTGGGTTTAAAGTCCTGGAAACAATATGTAATGATGGTAACTTTGGGAACTTCTTTTTGGAATGTAGCATTTATTATGTTTTATTATTTCCTTGTGGGTTTATAGTTCTGGAAACAATATGTAATGATGGTAACTTTGCGAACTTCTTTTTGGAATGTAGCATTGTAATATGGTTCTTCTCACTTTTTCTTTAAAACTGCAGTATTAGGTCTGCTGTGGACTAGATAGCTTCTGAACTACATCAGCACATTTCAGGTCTTCTTTTAAAACAAAATCGAATCTTAAAAAATCTGAGTATTCCTTTTTAATTACCTTTGGCTGCATCACTTTCTTTTTCTCTTCATTCCTAAAATGCTGTTTCTTCCTGCTCTCATGTGAGTTATTTATGTAAATAAAACTCATTTTTCTTGACGTTTGAACTTGCATTGAACAGGTTTTTGTAGTGTCTACTTGTTTATCTTTTAGTTATCTTTGTTTTCATCAGGTAAATCTTGATCTAACATGGAAATCTCTCTGCAACAATTTCTTTGTATTCTTCTTCTAAATTTCCAGTCTCAAAATGCCTCCATACCATGGATCCCGGCCAAAATGGTGGGATTGCTTAATTATCTTAAGTGCCCCTACATGGTGGACCAATTTTCTAATTGGTCCCACTTGACTCTCCCTTGATATCATACTAAAAATTGACTCTCCCACTTGGCTACAAATTGCCAAAATAATCCTATTCATGTCATTGTCCGTTTCTCGTGACAGTAATAATACTATATATGAAGCATGCCTGAAATCATTCATTATTCAATGCTGCAAAAATTGAATAATCCTTAATGCGCTCTCCTTGATTAGACATTAGGACAAGGCATTATTTTGATAATATGCTATTTAGTTATATTGTGGTTATAATGTTTTGATTGAGTTATGTGACAATGAATGCTTCATGTGCATTTATTTACATTAAATTCTTCACATTTCTCTGAATCTTTAATGTGTCCATTAGCTTGTCTATTTGCAGGATTTGTGGGGTAGGGAGCATTTAAGTTGAAAAAATCTTTACAACCCAAGTTCACTTTGTGTACAGGAAGGAAGTTAAGATATGCAGACTCCTAAAGCAAGGTAATTTTTATTGGCTTCTAATGAATGTTACTCTTCTTTTAACAGTTCATCAGGTAAGTTGTTTTCTGGATTTGTAAATCTCGTGTCCTTATTTTCTTGAAAATGAAATGAATATTGGGGTGAATGAATTCGTTGCTGTTTTTTACTACACTGGAAATTATTTTTTCTCAAGAAATTAACTGCTTGGAATATATTGTTCTTTAACTGGTAGTAGTTTTCTTTATCTGTTATGTGCTCTTGACACAGATGAGTGTATTTGTGGGTGTTCATTTTTCTTTCTACTTTTTCTGTGAAGCATTCTTTCACAGAAAAAATTTCGGTTGAATTCCGGTTTTTCTGGCTTTTCAAATATTTTATCGTTTGACTTGTCTGATGATTCTTTGAAGTAATGGGAGCAGCTGATTTGTTGAAAATATAGGCTTCATGCTTATTCAAAAACATAAATGTTTCACATGAAAATTGTGTAGGACCATGTTGATGACAGAAAATGATTAAGAGTTAACTTTTTAAAATTATATAAACTAACTTTCTTTTTGTTTGATGACCCCAAAATACCCACTTCTCTGTCCCCTTTCCTTCTTTTGCTTGTCTTCTTCGTCTTCCTAGCCCCCACTACAGTCACCATAACCCCTCCTCCCAGAGGGCAGGTGGGATGGTGATGCAAGGGTGCCTTAACAGGGAGAAGATGGGGTTTGGATAGGGGGTGGGAGGAAGAACATGAATTGGGAAAGGATAATGTACTTTTTTAAAGGCAAATTAGATGTTTAAGATGGAAATGTCTATTAACCAGTATTTTTGTAGTAGGTTATCTTTCACTTTGACTACTGAAAAATGTCTTTCTACATAAATTCACCTTGTTTTATGCACTTCTACTGCTTCAGACGTAATATTTGCTACCGACAGTGCATCGAAGAATCTTGTTTCCTTTTATTCCAATTATATTTTTGAACTATAGTCCGAATTTTGTCACTTGTTAGGGCAACGCTACACCGTAACATTAAGCATTTATTGAATGTTTCCTTTCCTTTCCTTTCCTCCTGGATTGATTTGAAGTTATTGATGAGACAGGTTATACAGAAAGTGCGTTTAACAATTTGCATGAATCTGGAAATTTTGTTTGTCTAAATAGTCAGATTATGAGCATTAACCATATATATTGCAGATATCACAATGTTTTCAAATTTCAAGCCTTTCTTAACTTTTCTAAAATTGTTAGTAGAAACATTCTTTGTTTTGCTAATTGTTGTATGACTCCATTTATAATATTACCATTCTTTCATATGATATCCATAGAATTCTTCTTATATCCTTCCATAACTTGTGATTATATTTCATTAATCTTGACTTCTTATCTTAATGAATTTCTTCACTCAAGTTGAAAGCCATATAATATCCTGTTACTGCTTTGGTACACTACCAAATTTTTGTAGAGACTTTTCTGTCATTTACAGGGTTTGTCCAGTTATATTAGCAGTGACATTGACATGTGATTATCGCTGATTATTTTCTTCTGCTATTTCCGAATCTGGAATATCTCCTGGCTAAATGTTCTGTACCTTTTTTGGAGCAGAAAAACTTGTACTGGAGCACCGCAAAAGACCTCTCCTCGATCTATTTCCTCTGAAGTGCCTCGTAAGACCTCTCCTCGAGCTGGTTCCTCGGAAGTGTCCCAAAAGATTTCTCCTCAAGTTGTGCGCCAGCTTAAGACAGCTGCACGAGATTCAGATGAAGCTGCCTCTTCTTCAAATCTGTCAAGTAGGATTCCAAAAGAGAGAAGTCCTAAAGTTGCCGATCACAGGCTATCCCAAAGCCCAGTGTCCGAGGTACCAAAAATAAATATTAAATACCTACTTTTACATCTCAAAAGGGAACAAAAAAAGGATGAAATCTGGAATTCTGCTGCATAAAACCTTGGCATACCCTGATCACTTCTCATTCTTAATGTTAGGTAAAAGTTCATGAGAAAAAGTAAATTCCACCTCAAGGTTTTTATTAATAATAGATATTGGTGTGGTATATGAATTTCATTTTATTGGAGCTCTGTATTGTTGCAAATAGATTAAGATAATTTGGCTCTCCTCTCCTGTTCAACTTAATGTGGCCATTGTTTTTTTATGATTCTTAGGGAACGCCATTGTGTTGTCTCATTAACTATGCCATAATTTTTGCACTAACATGAGTTCTGTAACAGGAGTGGAATAATAGCTAGAAACCAAAGTGAAGAATGACTTAAGGCATAATGATGTATCAAAGACTGAATACTAATCTTGTTTTTGTTTGTACTCACGTTGACTCTGTATTGTTCCCTTTTTCTGTGATTATGTTCACAGAGCATGTCATTGACATTTTTATTAGTTTTGGAAGTTGTTTCGTTCAACCTTTGGACATTATGTCATGGATTTTTTTTCAGGTCTTGTTGGCTGTTGAGTTAGGATCATCAGTACAAGTTCTTTTGAAGTGCAAATTTTCGATTTTATTGCTATGATAACACATTTCAAAAATAATTACTTCATAAATTCTTTAATAGTCTTTTTGTATCATTTTGCAGAAGAAACGTCCAAGCGTAGTTGCTGAACGAGAACATCAGATATCTCAGCTTGAGCATGATCTAAAAACTGTCAAGGATCAGCTATGCTCTTCGGAAGCATCAAAGAAACAAGCGCTGAAAGATGCAGAGGAATCAAACCAGCTGCTCTTGGCCCTATCATCAGAGCTCGAAGAGTCCCAAAAGCAACTTTTGGAGCAGTTGAACTCTGAGAAAGGCCACATAATTGAGATTTGTAAGAATTCTGAAGAACAAGATCAGACATTACAATCTGAACTTGATGCTATCAAAAAGGATCAGTCGGTTGATTCGACTGCATTAACCTCTGCCCTAAATGAGATCAAGCAACTTAAAGTGCACCTTGAAATGGTAGCAGAATCTGAAGCTACCCAGACGAAGAACTCAGAATTAGCACAAAGTGAGCTCCATAAGCTAAAAGAGAACCTCGGTGAAACTCTTTCAATTGTGGAAGATATGAAGAAACAGCTAAGAGACTGCAAAGAATCAGAAGCTCGTGCCCAAGTACTTGTAGGAGAAACATTAATGCAACTGGAAACAGCAAAAAAGACAGTGGAGAGCCTCAGATCGGATGGATTTAAGGCCATTGAAGCATATGATGCTATAGCTTCTGAGTTGGGCCAGTCAAGAGCTCGCATTACCTTTCTCGAAGAGCTTGTTAGCAAACTCAAGTCTGGTATCAGTGATTCTCAAAACGTAAGTGACTGTAAAACTGATCTCAAAAGTAAAGAGAATGAAAAAACTGAAGAATCCATTGAAGCAGAAGTTATTTCTGTGAAACTTGAAGTTGAACGATTGAGACATGCTTTAGAAGCAGCTGAAATAAAATACAATGAAGAGCAATCTCAAAGTGCAGAACAGATGAGAAGTGTTTATGAATCGATGGAAAAGTTAAAGTCCATATCAAGCCAGAGAGAGGCTGAGCTTGAGTCTAAGCTACGCCGATCCGAAGATGAAATTGAGGAGATGAAGGCAAAACTGATGGACAAGGAAACTGAATTACGAGGTATCTGTGACGAAAATGAGCAGCTTACAACTAGGCTTGAAAGTTCGATGTCAGATCAGCGAGAATATGAACTGGAAAAGGAGCTTCAGAAATCAAAGAACGACATGGAGAATTTGAGAGCCAATTTGATGGATAAAGAAACTGAGTTGCAATATGTAGCAGAGGAGAATGAAACACTGAAGTTGAAGATACAGGAAATCAACATGGGTAACCTAAGTGATGAATTTGTGTCTGAAGTTGAGGCAGCAAGGTGTGCAGAGCAGGAGGCCCTTATGAAGGTTGGGTACATGACAGAGGAAGTTGAGAAGAGTAACAGGAGGACTGCTAGAATGACTGAGCAGCTGGAAGCAGCTCAGGCAACCAATGCGGAAATGGAAACCGAGTTAAGGAGGCTAAAGGTTCAGTC